CTTCTTCTTCTTCTTCTTCTTCTTCTTCTTCTTCTTCTTCTTCTTCTTCTTCTCCTTCTTCTTCTTCTTCTTCTTCTTCTTAGCTTGCCTTTCTCAACCCCCTGACCATCTTCTCTTTCTCTCGTTTTCTCTTGTTGTCTTTTCATCGCAATTGTCGTTGTCATTGTCATTGTCACTGTCAAATGTTAGTCAGTACTTTGAGGTCAATCAATACGAAAAGGCACCAATGCCATCAACTACGAAAAGCATAAAAGAAAGAACACCACTTTTATCTTCAAGCCAAAACAGAAGAAGGCTGACAGACAAAGTAACAACTTTTGCTAAGAGGAATATGTGCAGAGGACAGCCTTTCGATAAACTTATATTTTTATTTAAAAATATAGACAATTTGATGAAAAGGTGAAGCAATAATATACACAGATAAAAATAACACGATTCAACTCCCCCATAAAAAAAGACTTTGAACCGGTTTTCGCAATACGGGATCCTTTTTGGAACAATTTATGTAATGCCTGATCCCTTTTGGAGCAGTGCATGTAATACTGTTTCCCTTTTGGACAACATGAACTGGTAAATTCATTTCGCCAGGTGGCATTCTGTTTTTCTAAAACGTTATTAGAGGCATGAAATGCAAGTTTACCAGTGAGTATGAGAAAAGTTTAACTCTACCGAGCATACCTGATATTAAAAAAAAGAATACTTTGCTTGTGAACTCGGTCCAAGACAACAGGGGAGGGGGGACTTTTAAAAATACAAAGTACGTTTTCAAGTGTGCTTGGAATAGGAGTGTTACGGATACAGGCAAACAAAAGATTAATGTTTAACCCAGTAGCGAAACTATATGGAATGAAACTAAATATCCTGCAGAAAGTCTTACTCCCACTTGTCCTGGTCAGAAAGGGGCAATAAATACACAGCCGGCCATGATGATGACAAATTTGATCTATTTCGAAAGATTGCATTTGGCGAACGGAGGAGGCTACGCGAAAAATCGATTCCAAGACTGAAGCAAGAAATCGACGAACACCCCTGGTCCAAAAGGGACCTAGTCTTTAACTAGTTCAAAAGGAACGGTGTAGTTACTGGTTGAACAGGAATTCTCCCAGAGCGTTCATGCCAAGGTGCTGGCGATGTCCCGACACTTGGCTAAAGACATAATCAATCCGGACTGCAGTGTTAGGCTGAGGGTTATGTTAGTTTGACAACACTTCTCTACTTCTCTTCACCGAGCGTCCAACAAAAGTACTAAGAACCCCCATCGTCTTAGAACTAGATTGTTTTGTGCCTCGGAAAGTGATAAATGATAATGTAAGCTCAGTCAAATTCGTAAAAAAAGAAACAAAACAAAACTTTGGAAAAATATTTATGTACTTTTGTAAGCTTAACAGGATTTGCGCATTAAAAGAGAATGAAGTTGGTATACCATTCTTCACGCACTTGCTACCAGTGATGAAGTTCTTTACCAAAGTTCATATTTTTTGTAAGCAGAAGGTAAGATAACGGGGGCTCTCGTGGCCTAGAGGTTAAGGTGTTGGCCTCTCATTCAAAGGTCCCGGGTTCGAATCTGGGTAGCGACCGAAAAATTTTCTTCTCTAAAATTGTCTCCTTTCACCTCCTTTCCTGCTCTCTAGCAATGTTCTGTTGTCTGCTTTCATTTCCACTTTCTGCCCCCACCCCCTCACCTCCTTTGCCCCCTCCTCTGGACTCCTGACTCTTTCTGCAGCCTTTCTACTGCTACTCCTTGGATTCTTACTGCTGTCTTTCTGCCACACCCCTGATCTTCTGGTAGGAAAGATCTACACCTAGCCTTCTCGGACAAGGGCGAAAAATCTCGGAGGGCCCGTGTGCAAGTTGCGCACGTTAAAGATCCCTTGGTGGTCTAAAATCGATAAGAGTAGGCTTCGGCCGCCACTCGGGCAAAATTGAAAATTTCCTACCAACTGAAAATATTAGGAGTGTCCCGCGCGCTCATATGACCTATGCAGTTGCGAGCGCCGTAAAACACTTTACAAAAACAAACAAACAAACAAAAACAAAGTAAGATAACAAGTACTCACACTCTTTAGGTAGTAGTGGTAAATCGGCTTTTACTTGACTGTTCCACCTAGGATCACTTCGCAAATCGTCAGTTTCACTTTTATCGAGCCATTTTAGGTCGTCTCCTTAATTTGCTGTTCAGGTTTTCAAGATAAAGCCTGCCGCTTCCAGATTGTTATACGAACAAAGGAAAAAACCCCAAAACGGTAGCGACATGATCAACAAACAAATGGTTAAACACAAACAACAGCAGCAGCAAATAAACACCCCAGACCTCGTCCTCCTGGCAAACTAATTAAAACAAAGCAAATAAAAGACCAAAGGACGTTTTAATGAGGAATTTGAACAGAATTGGTTGAACTTCAGTAAGCATATCATCACTTCCCTGTATACTGATTGGCACATTAAAATATGAAAAAAAAGAAAAGAAAAAAGGAAGACTCCGAAGTCAAGATGTAGCTCAAAAGTGAACTGTATTCGTCTTTCTAGTGGTATTAATCTTACAGATGGAAATGGATAATAACAAGTATGTACATAGGAAAAAACTCTTATCGTTAAAACGCACGTAATATTCACAGATTATTGCATCTCCATTCAGATCCTGGGAACCCATACACTTGACGTCCACTCATACACACATGCGCAGGGCTGCCACATACCCATGCACTAGAAATGCACGTTCAACTATAAACTTTACACAATGGCATGCCAAACGTACGTATTCATTTTTATTTTTAAAATGTTTCAAATAATGCACAATAACAATTTGCAAAATTAGAATTTGAAAGTTGTCACAAATGTATATGTACTCATTTTATAACTTACATAAATCCACACACTCGCCATCACTCTCAGGTTCAACCATTCGCGTCCACCCTCACACAAACACATATACACGTGTGAGCGAGTGAAAAAAGATATCCACATAAACGCACAGAAGGCAAATTCATACATAAATAAACATCCCTTCACTTGTGCATAGTGGTACTCTCACATC